AATTCTAGTATCAAATTCTAAGACTAAAGTTATTCATTACAACAAGCTAGCTCCTTACTATGGCCACAGTACGTGGTCAACATAGTGTATCTGATGTAAATAGTATGCTAAGACCATAATCCTCCTGTGTGTAATTTGTAAATTCATGCCTTCTTTGTTTATTGGAATTACTATTTTAGAATTGCATCCATTTTCCTTACTTGTAAGTATGGCTTTCTGTCCAGGGATTGTTCTGCCCGGGACGTGCAATTCATAGGAAGAGATGTTGTAACATGAAAGGTCTAAAGAGAGTGAAATTTCACCAGTAAAATAAGGTTAGGGGAGAAGTCCATTTAACATTGAGATGAATGGCTATCTGCCAAATTGGCGAAATAGTGCCAAGCTGGCGATAGTCTTGGCTATTAATTTTTTTGCCAAATTTGTCAAGAAATCCGTGATTTGGCAACATTTTGGTCTAAGCCCTATATAACTGTAACTTGTGCTATCACTTTGCAATTATAACCGTATCTGCTCCTATGTAAGAGTAATTGTGAATTCCTTCCAGCCATTTTGAGAAATCGGAGGTACTGAAAATTTCTCAGTGACCATGGGGAAACTAATATAAGACTGGAGAAAGCATCAATTCTCAGTTTTTAGTTCAGAGTTGAGTTTGGAGTACTAAGAGATCTCTCTGTGTGCTTCCCTCTTCAGCTGTTCTTTGCACTGCCATGGTGTTAAACATTCTTAGTAGTAAGGTATCTGACTACGTTCGATACCCTAATTTTGAAAAATTGCACAAATAAATTCATTTTTGGTGTTAGTTAGCAGAATGCTACCTAAAATGATAAAAAGAGGTTATAAACATATTATTAAAATGTAATTTTTACTTTTTTCTCACATTTTGGATAAAAAATGTATTCAAATTTCAGTATTACGAGATTAGTTTCTTCAAAATTATTTATCAATATTTTAATTTTATTTTTTTTTCAGTTATATTTATTAAAGCATAAGGAATGAAATGGACTAAAATCTAAGTCATAAAGCAAAATGTCTATTAAATATACCTGTTTGAGTACATACACTAGCTATTTTTCGAGAAATATTTCTCTCTTCATTTACAAAATTGTCTGCAAAAATCTTTAATATGTATATAAACCTAAACTTTTAGTCCATTTAATTCCCAATATTCTATAGAATATTTGTGGGACGTATCATAAAATTGCTATAGTAATATTTTAAGTTATAGTGTTTTTCGTATTAGAAATGTTAAAACAAGTTTTTCAAAAAAACAATTTTAAAGTTTTATCTTTAGAAAATATATTAGAAATTGATATATTACATTGCTAAAACTGCCCTGTTTTGTATGTTACACTTTCTCTGTTAACTGTATTTTAGAAGATTTTTTCTTGAAATAAGCTCTTAATTTTTTTGTGATTTTTGCAGAATGTAAAGAATGTTGTTTTGAATCGACAATCCGAGTTTTATCAATATACTTAAATCCCTGGACAGTACATTGTCCAGGTTTCATATTAAGTTTTTCCAATATTTTTAATATACCCCAAAATCCATCATTAAACTGTATTACTTCTATATAGGAATCAAGACACAGTGTTGTCAACTCAACAGACATTTGTCTTGGTATGATACTTCACAATATGTTATTAAAATTCTCATTATTGTTTTGAGTTTTCCCGTGCAAACACTTTTTTAATAGTTTGACATCACAAAACTCCATGTACACCGGTTTTATAACATTTATGACAGCTTTTGATAATCCTTTAGAATTATCCTGATAATTTTTTCCCAAAGCATCACATTTTTGAAATTTGCACCAGCTGTCAATTCCTTTTGGACACTGCCCATGCATTGGAAACATTTTTGAAGAGCAGTAGAGGAAGAATGCTGCTATAGTGGCAGACTGCATATTTTGCAAGCTACCAACATTTGACCTTATTGCGATTCCATGGTAGTTTTGAATTTTATCAATCAAATTATCAGTCAATTTTTCCTTTCCCCTAAGGGTTGGCTTGCAACTTTTTAATTTATGCAGTCGGGTTCTAACCCTTTTTTGAATGTGGCCGATGCATTTCAGTTTTTCAATGCTATCTTTGCCATACATGTTTTTAACTGCAAAATATCCTTTTGAATCTCCATCACCATAATGCTTTGTATATTGCAAACCCCTTAGTCGTAAGGAGCGTTCAAATAACGTGTATGCCCTAACTGTCTCCATACTGGAAGCAGATCCCGAGTGATTTTTTGAACAATTATGCTCAAAATTAACAGAATTTGAACTTTTTTTTGCATTTTGTTACAAAGTCTACAAAACTGAGACATAATTTCAATATCAAGGACTTTTCCAGTGTCAATAGATATAACAGTAACACAACCATTGCGAGATGAATATCTGCGTCTCTGCCATGTAACGTCAACAGATACACTACATTGTACTACATCACTGTTACAGTTTATTTCACAATTTATTTCATCTGCTGCCTTGTTCATAGAATCTGTAGCAGCTGCAGATGCAGCATTTAGAATTTTCTTTTCTTGTGCACGAAATGATCTGTTTGAAATCGCAGGCATATTTAAAGTTGCACACAGTTTCTTTGCAGCTGATGTTACCTTTTCGTATGATTCCCATCCCAAACACAAACAATAAATTTATATCATAACTTTGTTTGGTTTTTCTTGATGAGACAAAACCCTTTATAAAAGAACAGTTATTGGATTTAAAGCACCAGTTAGAAGCTATTCCAAAAGTGGATTCTTCTTTCAAAATCAAATTATTTTCAAAACACACTGGTCAGCATAATGCAGAAAATACAGATTTTAGAATTTCAACATCGAGTATTCTATTACCAGTTAAATTAGCTTCATTATAATTTTCAGAAAATGTTTCATTGTTTCCTAGGTTTGATTCACTGGCAGTTGCATACGAAACGTTCTAATTTACTTTTTCCCTTTCCCTTGAGTCAGATTCTGAAGCATTCACAGTATATCTGTTTCCAGCAAATTGCCGTTTTTTAGAACAAAAAGGTCCACGCCGACCCATTACGCCATTTACTATAATAAAGTGAAAATATTTTTATCACAATGTTAAAATAACAAAGCACAATGAGATAAAAAATAATGCTGAATAACAGCAAGTATGCTAAATGAGAGTGTAATCAAATCAGAATATAAACACAAACAGAAATGCTGCCAAATATGATGCTGAAAGTTCAAAAGTAATCTTGCTTCCAAGCACATAATAATAATAAATATAATATTTCAAAATCATCTTTTCAAAATCAACAGTATTCAAATGAAATATTATCGTTGTCCCTTAGTGTTTACAATCTGATTTACAAATATCAACTTCCGGCCTTTTAAACGGCAACTCCCGCTTCATGGCGTAGAACAAAAACAGCCGTAACTGTACTTCTAATCACCGGAGAGATAAAACAAAAGCAGTCTTTGAAAGCTAAAAATATATGATTGAAATTAAAGTAATAAAAAATTTTTGAAAAATTTCTTCAAAATTGATGATCAGAACGTAGTTGAATACCTTGTGGTAACTACTGATTATACTCTGTAAGACTGAGAAGAGCTGTGTGAGTGCTTTTGTGAAAACTTCCAGAACTGTAAAGTGTTTTCTTTTAGAAAAGTAAATTTTATGAAGCTATCATCGGTTCTGTATGCATTCAATCCATTATGAACCTGTACGCATGCAACATTTTAAAACTTTCAAGAAAGATCAACTGGAGGGCAAGTCTGGTGTCAGCAGCTATAGTAATTTCACCACCAATTAGCATTATTAAAGTGTTGTGGTTAAAAAAAGCTTAGCTGGGTCTGAATTCCATATTATTCACATACAAATGGTTGCTTCTTGTTCAGAAGATCAAGGCAGTTTCTTATATTTACGTTACACATGGGGAAACCATGGAAACAACTGTGCAAGCTTGTTCTTGAGAATTTTAATCCGGTTTGATCTACTAATGTTTTTCATTTTAACCTTTTGGCCACTGATAGGCACTGGAAATGAAAAATTAATTGGAAAAAATATATAAAGCTGTTAGATTTATTAGTGTAGTCATATATTATTTGCTTTTCAGGATAATGTTTTATATGGTATTGTTAAAATTTAAAGTTCAGTTACTTGTATTTATACATTGTGTGATTTATTAGAAAGTAACCAAAAACATTCTTGCCATTTTTGGAATCTCATTTGATGAAGCACTTACAGAGAAGAAACAAAGTGGCTCATTTGCTGGAAAAGTGTTGGATGGTTATTGTAAGAGCTCTACCAATACTGCCATGTTGTGCAAACAAAACTCATCCATTGTCAAACAGAAATGGAGGTATTGAATATTGAAGCACCTTATTTTAGTTGTATGCTGTATCATTTTAAGGTGTGCCCCTTAGAAGCCCCGTCAAGATGTCAAATAATACCTTAGGCATTTGGCGAGGATGATGTGAAAGAATGCACAGCCAGGCATTAGTTCTGGAAGCTCAAGTTGAGAGATCTGAGCTTTTGTCATGAATACATGGGTGACCTCAGATGCTCAGTGCTTCTAAAGGCAGCCATAGTGGAGGACAGCAAAGTGAACTCTTTCAAATTTCTGCAAAAACAGTCAGATTTCACAAGGATACAACCAAGGATACCATTCAGCAACTTTGCTTAAAAATGCTGTGTCATTCACCATACTTTCTGTGCTTTTCTGGCCAAATATTTACACGGGAAATGTGTCGACAGTGAGGGAGACCTGCGCCATACATTCACAGACTTCTTTAGTGTGCGCAAGAGCCCTAAGTGTTATTGCCAATGCATTGTGCAACTGCAGAAATGTTGGCAAAGGGTGCTCAGGGCTTCTAAAAATTACTTCAAGTCCTACTATTGAGTGCCATATGCTGTATGTCTATCTTTTCTAATGATCACAAATGGCAAAAATTTTTTGGTTACCAAGTATATCTGAAAATTTATTACTTAAAAACTTATGAAATATGTTTTTGCCTACATGATTTTTTTTTCTTGGTAGGAAAGCAAAAGTTCTAAAGGTGATATACAGAAATATGCAGAAGATAACTTAAATCGTCATACTAAGGGTATTTTTCGTAAGAAGTTTTCTTTGCAGGATATGTTATCATGGTCTAAAGTAAGTATTTATTATTAAGCATCAATTTTATTAAATGTTCAAATATATTGTTGTTGTTCTAAATGGCCATCGTAAAGCACTCAATAGAAATGGCCAATATCTGTCTGTCATTTAGCTGTCTCATTATTCAGAACATTACATTATGAGATAAGGACAACTCTTTTCCAATTTCGATTGAAAAGAGAGAGATCCATTCTCGGAATGGATCTGAGAGTCTTCCATCCCTCTTCCTCTGTCACCAAACCTCTCAATTTATACTGGCGAGTTGAGACTTCTCAAAATATTGATGAGCCAAAAGAGGACTTTTCGCCGGTATTTCAGGACCTTCATGCCACACACATACTATATGCTTACACATTTCCAAGCCTTCTCGGGTTTTGAATCTGAACGTAACAATATGACAGCCAACATCACTAACTACTATACTCGTTAAGGGTGGGATGTTAAGGTGTAACTGCTTGCATTTTAATAATTATATTATTAACTTTTACATTAATTTCATTCTTTTGGATTTTAAAATTATGTAATTAACTTTTTTCCAGGCATTAAGGTATGTATTCACTGAAGAAAATGTTTTTATAAATATGTAAGTGAATCAAAGGAAATGTCAATACTCTTGTAGCATAGATATACGAACCTGTAGCAGATTGATATGGAGAGAGATTGATATGGACGGCATATAAGACGCACTTTTTTTCCTGAATTTGGTCTCAGAAAAGTTACCTGCATCTTATACGTGAAGGACACAGGTTAACTTTCAATACTGAATGCTATTTTTAGCCCGGATAAAGGTCTAGACACACATAACTTTTTCTACATCTACATGGGTGTGGCCTTCTAAATAAGGGTGCGCCTTATATTGCCATCAAATACGGTATATATTATAATCTAATTTTAGTAACATAACATTTGTAAGTGCATAAACATGACTTCTGATTTGTCTGAGTGAACAATCTTTAAAAAGAAAGTTGAGATTGATTTAGTGAGTTGAAAATGTGCAACCTAATGAACCTCATCACCACATGCTTCTTCACAGTGGGAACAGCAAGTGTATGAATCAGATGTTAGGTTATTTGAGTATGGTAAAGCACATGAGAGCTATTTAACTAAACGTAAATAAATGTCATTGTGGAGGACTTTCTAAAGGAAACTGGCATCTATTCACATTACACATTGAAAAATCCAAAATAACCAACCATGAATCCAACTTGCCTATTTGCTTATTATTCAGCCAATGTGAACAACTTGACCAGTAGTAGGGTGTATCAGCCAGAGACATGTGTGCAACCATGCAATCGCATAAAAGTCTAAAACTGGTAGAATGAGTACATTGAAGCACATCTCAATTTCTCCAGCAGACTACCATTATGATCATACTGATATGCACATTAAAGAAGTTTATCTGTTTGTCTTTCGATTTGAAGCATATTGGGTCTCTTTAAAAATCCACTGCTTTAATATATAAACATATATCGCATAAGAAATGGTACATTAATGGCTAAAGGATCAATCCTGTACTTTTCTTTTCTTCAGCTGCTAGACGTATATAAAATATGTAGTGAATAACAGAAAGATTATATTTAGAAACTTACTACTTCACTTGTATTTGAATGAAATAATAAATTTAGTTAGTATGATTTCTTTCTTTCACTATTAAATTTCACTTACTTTACATTCACTATTAAATTTACTATTTGACTTGTATTTTTCATTCGTATTTGTGTAAGTTGAATAAAATTAAGTCCCGCTGCAAACTGAAGTTTTGTTATTTGTGTTTGTAATATGACACTACAAATGTATGTGTGTTACTTCAATAATCCCTTTGCATTCATAAATTTGAATTGAATGACCTAAATAGTATATATTAGTACAGCAAAAATATACCTGGTGTCTAGGAGATGCAGCGCGACAATATGCCTCGTGAGCACTGCGGGGTTAAAGCAATTTGTTTGAGATCTGAATGATTGTCAAGACATTATTGTTTTTCTTCGAGTCTGGGCACAAACGTTGATGTGATATGTATAATCTTTAAATCTTCCATCAAAATCTTGACTTCTTTCATGACTAATTCTCACTCTCACTCACGTTTTCTTCATCAGTGGTACAACAAGGATCCTCTTGGATAATCCGATATGATAATCTCAGTCATTTTTAACATTGACCCACTTAGAAGTTTGAGAATGACCCATAGCTTTTCCTCAGAGAGCTGTTTTCAACTTTTCATAACATTGTAACAATTTTGACATAGTTAACTCAGGATATTATGAAAGTGCATTGTTCACAAAAATTTGTCATTTATGAAGAGTATGTTACATCTCTTTATAAATGGAAAGATCCACACACAATGTGCACTGGGTATTAACATAAGTCTTACTGACCCCTATCTTGGGGAGAATTCCCTTAGCACCTTTTATGGTAATCGTGTTCCATACAAACATGAGGCATTCAACCTGGAATTTTTCTTATTAGACCTTGTATATATGATAATGTATGTCAAAAATTGGGGGGGGGAGAAAAGCTATGCAATTTTATGGATTAATGTCTTCAAGATTCCAGAAAATTTTGAAAAATTGATTTCTTATTTGTGCATTTAAAAATTTGGTGATTAGCATTCAAAATTAATATTCAAATTCCAGATTTGCCAATAAAACACTTTACCTAGTTTATTCAATTCTCTTTAAAATGTAAAAATTAAAAAAAAAAAAAAAAAAAAAAAAAAAACCCCACTCTGGAAAAAAAAGTTTATCTTCTCCCCCTACATACTCAAAATAATTTTTATTTCCAGGATTCAGAATAATTTTATATTTTTCTTGGTGTGGCAGGAGAGGTTCCTGATAGTGCATGTTAATAATCAAATTTGGGAAGAATAACTTTATTATAAATGTTCTATTTTTCCATAATTTTTAACATTCTCATTGTATATTTTACATTATCCCTTAACTGCAATTATTTTAATGTTTATTATATTCTAAAATTCATATAGGATCCTATTAGAAAACCAATGATTATGACAACTGACAAATCACTTAAGCGAGACGCTTGTGAAGTATTTAAATTGATTCAAACTTATATGCTGGACCATAAAGCTAAAAGTGGGCAAACATATGAAGCTGTTGTTCTTGATATAGCCACCAGAGGTTGGAGCAAACCAGCTTTAAGAGATGAACTGTATATTCAGATTTGCCGGCAAACTACTGAAAACCCCAAAAGGTATGTGGTTCTGACTAGTACTTTAAAATATTTATTAAATACTTTTGATTATCTGCATTTCTATAAAAGATTACCGACTCATTGGCGACTTTATGAATTGCTGAAAACCATTTGGTTAAGTATTGTTATGTCTTATGGATATTGTTATGTTCATAAAAAATTATAAAACACAAGCATTTTCTAAGAAACAAGTGATTGCATGAGAAAAAAACAAAAATCTATGGGGCTAATATTTACATTTTTGCAGCCACTGCATACTGTTCACTTAAATGGCATTAACTATAAATCATATAAATTCATGTGCACTCTAACATGTTTGTGGTATACACTCACTATGTTTAACTGCATGTACCCTCAAACATATATGCAAATTACTATTGTTGCATGTACATGCAAAATTATACCAAAATACAGCAGTTTTATCACTTGTTGAAACCATGGCACAGATAATCAGAAAGTACCATTTATTCTTCTATTCGGTGGTACAGCATAATTAATCTTGTGTAATTTTATGAAATAATGCAGTAACTATTGGAGCTGAAAATTGAGTGATTAATAAGTATTGAAAGAAATGCATTTACCTGAAATATGGTACAGAGTTATATAAGATCTGTACAAATTCATGAGCATTTTTGTGAGATATTTTTTTCAGTCCAAAATTAGTCTGCAGTGGATAGTAGTGTGAATGTGTATGCATGTATATACATATAATTTTAATTAATTTTTAAAACCCTTAAAATTTTAACTAAGAGGTTCTTTTGCAATTCCCCCAAAAATTATTATTTGTTCTTTAGATTTCTAGACTATCTTGATGGTGACACGTCTGCCTTTAATCACACTGGATATAAAGTTGACCTGCTAATTATATTGAGTGTTAAAAAAATTATGACTGCAGAGTTAATTTCCTTAAATAATCATCCTAGGTTATTATTTTACTTTATACTGGAAACTTTTTACTTCCAATTAGAAAGTTTATCAAAGTAGGGTAAGAAAAAATTCTTTAATAAATAATTTCAGTATTATGGTTAGGAAAAGTCTTTAAATATAAAATCTAGCTTTTTATATATCTGCAGTAACATAAGTTCTAATTTGTAAAATATTTATTTGGCTTTAACAATCATTAAATGTTGCATTTTTGAAAAATTAACTTTTTTTCTGTTTTATTACTGAGGTCTAAGTATGGTATAAAAATATAATACATTTTTTTCAATATATTGTTCATTTACAATAGATCAATTTGTTTATATATTTAATACTAGAAAATTTTGGGAGTTATAATTCACAAGGTATTTTTTTGCAAATTGGTTTAATAAAATAATAGGCATTATTAATAAGATCATATCGGAAAGATTATATAGCTTAAAATTGTCATTTAATGATGTTTTATGTTAGATACATGAGCTATTAATGTCATTATTTTATAGATTATTATAGCATTTGAGGGAAAATAGGTATGAATTGTGGTATGAAAACTGAACACATTTTTCTTTCTTTTCCTTCTTCTCTTTTTTAATATTGCTTTATTAGAGAAAGATTGAAGCAAAAATTTTGTGTTGTCACTTAATTCTTTTCATTTTTCATTAAAAATATGAAAAAAATCATACGTCAGTGAAACATTAACAGCTAAATATCGTTTAATGTATCTCTGTTCTTTTATAAACCAAATGCCAGTTAGCTCTAAAAATATTTGTTAACAGAACAAAGGGTTAGGTGCAAAGAAAATGTACATCAAAACAGAACATACACAAAAACAAAGCACCTAGCATTTAGAATTAACGTTTCAGTTATGGAGACATATTGGAGAACCTATTTTCATTGCAGCTGGAGGTTAACTGACTGTAAATTCTTCTCATTGCCACTAGATGGCATTTGATAAAATATTTTTGTTACATCCAAGTAGTTTTGTTACATGTGCATATTATTTTAAGTATATTTAGAAGTAAGGACCATTAGTGGTGAATTAATTGCATTAGCTTAGAGAAAATATTCTTTGATAATAGAGAATGGCATTGAATTTTGCAAAAGTTATGTTAAGCAAATGTTTAATTGATTAAACTGGAATGCTGTTATTATTATTTGAATTAGAATAACAGTGCAATAGTTACTTAAAATTTTGGTGACCAAAAGTGGCCAAGCTTAACTTCATATCATTTGATATTGTAATATTACAGTAATTCCTGAAGTACTTCAGATAATGTAATTTTTCAGTCGCATTCTGGTTAGAAGTTCGGTCCTGTCTTAACTGAAACAGCTGCACTACATTTTGAAGTTTTTTGATAAAAATATTTCAAAACCATGATATTGATGCTTGTAATGCTTTACTGTACTATGTATTTCTTTGAAAAGAGCTACTTTTTAATTTTATGTAAGCATTCCCTCAGCTGGCAGATACTGATCTGTTCATTGAAATATAATGTGAACTGGCTATCATATATTTAGAAACAGCTTTGCATACAATTAAGTAACTACTCTTCCATTCAAGAATTTTCCTGTGAATGTGGTATACATTTGAAATTTGAGCCTTGGTATATTCTGAGTTTAATTCTGAATGGGATAAGAACCATATCTTTGATGGAAGTTTTTAAAGTCTTCCTGAACAAAATAAGATGTTCCATGTATACTTTTTGATGAAACAGCTTAAAGTAGAATTTAAATTAGGTCTGAAAAAAAAATTTTTTTTTTCTAATTCTATAATTATTTCTTGCAAGTTATTTTAGGTAAAAGGCATGTGTTAAGAGTCTTCAGTATGGAGGAAAATGATGTATTTCTACAAGCTGAGAAAAAGTGTTGGGGGGCGGAGTGTCTACATGATATCATAAGCCTTTTAATTTGTAATGTCTCTACATTTAACATTCTTGAAGCTGTATTTCAAAAAATTTTAGTCGTTTTTTTTTTTATATCAAAATGACACATCTTTTAAGCATTGTAACATTAACCCCTGTATTAACTGCATAATTGAAGAATGAGTTTATATTTAACTGGCAGAAAAATGTTTAAAAAGCAAGGTATAAAACATTTAAAACAATTTTTTTAAAATTATAATTATTGTTGCTTCTAGAATGAAATATATGTATTCACTTTTCAAATAATAAATTAAGACAAAAAGGGTAGTTTGTATGGTAACTTAAAATTCATGAATATTATTTCCTATTGTACTTATTTTCTTAATATTCGAAGAAGAGAAGGACATAACAGTTTAAATTTATTTATTTTCCTTCATTTTAGTTTACAAATATTTTAGTGCTGTTAATTTTTTTTTCCCCCAGTTTCTTTTTTATTTCGCTGAAAACATTTTTTTTTATCTTAAAATTTTGTAGATTTTTATTTATTTATTCGATTATAATGTTGTGTTTTTTTAATGTAGTTTATTCTTTTAGTTTTAGCTATGCTGGAATATTGAAACTAAAGGAGAACAAAGTTTTGTTGTAAATACATAAGCTGTTTCCCATAAATGTGATAATTGCTGTTGGATTCATTACATAACCTGTTTTAGATTTCAGAAAAGTAAGGAAAGAAGTAAAAATTTGTTTGTGAAATATGTGCCATTTTTATATAAAATTTCAAAAAACACTTCTGATTACTATTGTTTTAATTTATCTTTAAAAATTTAAAACTAGTTAAATTGCTGACTTGTAAATTACAGAATTCGTAAGCATATATATAATAATTTGAAAAGCATCTTGTTATTTTGAAAGTATCTTATTTTTTTATATTCTGAGAGGAAGCTGAAATTTTTTTGATCAAATCAAGTATTTACATCATGATTCGGAATGTGGAGTTGGGTTCTCATTTTTTTGTGAAATCGGTACAAACATTTCATATACAGAAATGAAGAAAAGTTATAAAATTTTTACATAAAATTGATGTAGTGTGCATTCTACTGCTTTTATGATTGTATCTTACATCACTGATGTGTAAACCACTAAAAGTACTTTGCCAGTCCTGCAGATGGTACTAATACTCAAACAACTGAATCATGCTTGGGGATTTTCTAGGTAAAATCCTACACAACATATGAGTTACCACTCCTCAAATGCTTCTACATTATCTTGCAGGGAATAATTTTCATTTATGTATTAATTATTTTTATTTTTTTTTTTAATTTTCAAAATATGTTTTAGTGGCATTATCTAAGAGATAACTAACACATAGTATAATACCAAAATGCTTCTTGAATGCATAAGAAAATGAGTGTACTGCAAAGTGAATCTCTTTTTTATTTTACATTTGTAATTCATTACATTTTTTATAGTTTAAAATTTATGAATTATTGCAGATTTATATTTTATATGAAAAGAGGATTTTTTCCCCTTCAAGCTTCTGCTTATCCTGTGAGAAAAAGAATGTGATTTTTGTTGTAATATCTGGCGATAAGTTGTAAAATAATTGCATATATAATATGTATCCGGTATTACATTGTACTTTTAATGCCTAATATTGCACTATTATTTTTTTTTTCTTTTATAGTTTACTGAAGGGAAAAATTGGAACAGTTACTGAAAAAATAAATTTTGCCATTACAGTGACAAACAAAAGCAACCATTTTGAAGCTTTAAAATTTGTTGAGCTAATATTTCAAGGAAAATTAGATTTAAAATTCCTCTTTGCAAAAGTTCAAATTATTAAAAAATTTTTGAGCTAATATTTCAAAAAAATTAGATTTCAAGTTCCTCTTTTCAGGAAAGAAGTGCAAATTATTTACAGTAACAATGCAAAACCATGCAGAATATTTTAGAAAAGAAGAAAAATGAGATATTCAGCTGGCTGTATAAAATTTTATGCTACATATAAACAAATTACAGATGTTTCACTGGTTTATAAATTCACATATCTCTCAGATAAAAATATTATTTTTGATTCATTCAGTTCCCTCCTTTTTACTTCCTTGTACGAAGTAAATGGAAGTATTGTAATCGTGAAAAGTTTCAGGCAGCATATTTCAACGAAAATATCCATTTTGACCGCTATCGAATGCAATTTAACAATGTTTTTGCATGATA